TTCTATTTAGGGCAACTTCCCTATATATCTCCTTTCCCTTTTCTAAAAAAAACTTTATCATTTTTCCTTTCAATTAATAAAATTTGTGCTTCATATTATTTTTGTCTTCGTAGAATAAGGTAAAGCCGTGTGTTTCTTATTCCCATTCATCCCTTGTAAAGTACAACTTTTACAAGGTATATTTCGCAAGAAATATTCATACAAAGGTAATGTTATAATTAAGGAAAGTAAATATCCTAGACTCCCCCGTAATATTCCTAACACCCCATCCCCCCTCAAGTTGGAGCGGGAGAACTGAAAGTGCTCACTTGCGGAGTAAATGATCAAACTGAGTTTTTCCGAGGGCTTTTGTGAATATATCGGTCAGTTGCGTAGTTGTAGGAATATAAGAGGGATCGATCAGCCCACTTGTGATAGCATCACGAACAAAGTGGCAGTCGACTTTGATGTGCTTTTGTACGTTCGTGAAATACAGTATTTTTAGCGATGCGCAACGCAAATTGACTGTCACAATATAGTTTAATCGCCTTCGGATGATGAACTCCCAAGCTTAACAAGAGACCTTTAAACCTTTTTAATTCACAAGTGATAGCAGCTGTATAGCGATATTCAGACTCCGCGGAGTTGCGTGAAACAATGTGTTAATTTTTGGTTTTCCAAGAATTTGGGGAAGAACCAAGAAAGACAAGCCACCCGGTTAAGGATCTACAAGGACATGTCACTATCAGATCGTAACAAAATGCCTTGTCCGGGAGCACCCTTCAAATAAACACAACCCATAGGGCTGCATCCCCATGGTCACTTCATGGTTCCTGCATAAAACTAAGACAAAAATGTGAACAAAATAGGTTAAATCGGGCCTTGTGACAGCCAGATAAATTAAATGACCAACAACGCGATGATAGGGTTCAGGATCCGAGAGCACTGCACCAGTAGCTAGCCCACAGGTTTGGAACCCAACATGCCAGCCTCAGAAACAATATCAAGCGTGTACTTCCGTTGACAAAGGAATAAGTCTGAAGCACCAGGTGTGGGTGTTGGGAATATTTTATGGTGTTCAATCTAGTTAGTTATCTTTGTATTTGTGTAGTTATCAATTAATCGTGTAATACGGGCCACAAATGTGTATCAGCCCGTGGGCTTCCTTGTAACCCGTAAGTTAGCCAACTTCTCCTATAAAAGGAGGCTAACTCACGGGAACCCTAACGATCGAAAGAGGCTTAGAGTTTAGAGGCGTAAAGATAGAGAGTAGGGTTGCCGCTGCTCTCCTTATCCAGGGAGAGCAGCGGACAGTTTACACAGTATACCAGATTCGTATAATATCTACATATCTTTCTATCTGCTTCTTCTATAACTGCTATATTTGTTGTTTGTTAAGTATTCTGGGATTAACAATTGGTATCAGAGCCGAGGCGTGAAACAGGTTGAATGTATCTGCGATTTTCTTGGATCTAACGAAGAATGCTCTGCTTTTCTTCATATAGAGTTTTGCTCCTGTAATCTTGTTTGTGAACGAAAATCTGTAAAAATTATACTGTTGGAATCGCCTCTCAAAACCGATTCTACAGCATATCTTCTTTTTCGTTTTCTGCAATTTTTCATTTTAGAAAAACTCTCCTTGAAAACTCGAGTTTATGCTTTTAACACTGCTGCATAAACGATTTTGACTTGAAACAGATACAGGAGGGATCGCGACCTTCAGGGCTATTCAGAACAGTTTTCAGATTCTCAAAATTCGACAGGTTTTAAAACCGAGAGTTTGTAAACTCGCGGTCATGAACTCGAGTTTGTAAACTCGCGGTCATGAACTCGAGTTTGTAAACTCGCGGTCATGAACTCGAGTTTGTAAACTCGCGGTCATGACATCGAGTTTTAAACCTCGAGTTTGTAAAATTTGAGAGTTTTGGAATTGCGAGTTTTGGAATTTATTTCGAGTTTTAGGAACTCGATGTTTTGGATTTCGACATTCTAAAAAATTTCAGAATTTTCGGAATTTCTCGATGCTTTGAATCTTTCAAAGTTTGCAGTTTCTTGGAACTCATAATTCGAATCTTGACATCCTTTGCAGTTCATCGAAGCTTTACATTATAAGGATCTCTGAATGATTCCCTGCTTATATAAATGTTTCAGGAGTTTTCGATGTTCTGATGTTTTTCAAACAGCAAGTTTTCGAGATTATGAGATTTTTCGAAACTCCAAAGTTTTTGAGGTTCCAAACATTTTGAAATTATGAAGATTTCGTCATTCTGAGGTCTGTTTTGCAGGAGGATTTCGTCATTACTCTTCAAGGCACACTGGAAATTAAAATCTCCTGATTTGGATTTCAAGTTTTTGCCTTAGAATTTTGTTTAAATTCACCTGCTCTCGAAATTCAACATCGAGAACCTCAACCTCGAAGATTTTCCTCAAAAACTCAAAATTGGAGATTTTCTGCGACACCGCACTGTTTTGGCCATAACTTTTGACTCGGTGATCCGATTTGAGCAAACTTTTTTTTGTTGGAAAGCTAACGCAATGATCTACATTAATTCTCGGGCTACGCCCCAGAACCCAATCTCACGCGCCCTCACTCGCAGTCTTTGAGGGCCAAAACGTTAGTTTTCCGACAAACATTGTAAATCACCGATGCCCGGGCCAAAACTTAGGCAAATCTGTTCAAATTCTTTCATTGTCAACCCTGAGGTCAAAAATTTTCTAAACTTCAATGTAAAGGTCTGAAAATCGTAGATAATTCAATCAACCTCACGTCAACGGTCATCTTACAACAATCAACAATCAACCGCTGAAGCCTCCACTGACTCATCAACATTATGTGTTCATCAATATGCTGAAATTCTACATGGTGAGCTCAGGGAAACCGTCATGTGTGGTACATGTTTAGATTGCTCCACACACATGGCGAGTATGACAAGCTGTGAGCAATCAATCCTTGCACATTCTGAGGGGGAGTTTCAGTTTTCTCCTCCTGGCGCCTTACACCGACAAAGCAAGGAATCTCTCAACGGATGCAACATTCTAGGGGGAGTGATCAATATTATCCTTTCCGGTGCCTAACAATGACAAAGCATACCGAGTGCTCCAGTTGAGGGGGAGTACAGAGAGAAAATGAGAAAGTAATGAGAGAACATGTCCCTATGGCTTAGTAAACCCAACTAAGCCTACCCAAGGGACAAAGCCGAGCGTAAGTGCGTAAGTGAGCGAGTGAGTGAGTGAACATTATGAGCATTAGGAAGCAGAAGGCTCGAGTGAGAAGGAAACAATTATCAATGATGAGTCTGCTACCTCAATTGCCTGCTATGAATTGACCATTTGCTCCTAGCCACTAAAATACTCTGGACTATCCCCATAGGTTCAGGACTGAATTTATTCAGATCCCGGGTAGAAGTCGCTGCATTTTGTCCAAACGGCGCATGCACAACCCTACCCTAGACCACTCATTTGTCTCCCAACAGACAGGTGTTTAATCATAGTTCACGGGGAACCGCATCTCTCATTACTGTCTCCTTCCGAGGCAAGTAATACTGACTACAGTGGCCTCAGCCCCATGCCACTGAATTTTCATTGATCACGTCGTGTCTAGTTACTCACTTCCCAAATGTTTTGAAACTTTCTAGGACACAGACACATTTTAGAGTCAGTTGCTAGTCTTCAAGACTTGCGAGAACTTCCATAGGGCTCATCTATTACAGATGTAGACCAATAATTGGAAGGAAGTCCTGCTGTTGCAACATAAGAATCACCAACATTTTCAGGCATCAAAGATCAAATTGTCAAGAAGACATCAAAGGAAGCTCAATAACAACAAAGACAAAGATATCTGCGCTGCAATGCTGATTCAACACGATTGATCACCAAGGGGGAGATTGTTGGGAATATTTTATGGTGTTCAATCTAGTTAGTTATCTTTGTATTTGTGTAGTTATCAATTAATCGTGTAATACGGGCCACAAATGTGTATCAGCCCGTGGGCTTCCTTGTAACCCGTAAGTTAGCCAACTTCTCCTATAAAAGGAGGCTAACTTACGGGAACCCTAACGATCGAAAGAGGCTTAGAGTTTAGAGGCGTAAAGATAGAGAGTAGGGTTGCCGCTGCTCTCCTTATCCAGGGAGAGCAGCGGACAGTTTACACGGTATACCAGATTCGTATAATATCTACATATCTTTCTATCTGCTTCTTCTATAACTGCTCTATTTGTTGTTTGTTAAGTATTCTGGGATTAACAGTGGGCCACTTCAATGACCAAAAAATATTTCAAGGAGTCAAGATCTTTCATATGGAAGCAGTCGCTGAGATAAGCTTTGAAAGTTCTTAATGCAGCGGAATGGTTCCCAGAAATAATTAGGTCATCAACATAGCAAGGACATTAATTTGTGTAGTGCCTCGTGTGTACGTGAACAACGAGTATGATTGCAAAAAACCATAGTCTTTTAGAGCGGAAACAAGCTTAGCAAACCAAAGATTTACGAAGCCGACATACCTTGTTCGGATGAGATGATTCAAAACTTGGGGGAAGTGTCACCAGCACAATAGTTCAGGACTAAAAATGAAAAAATTAAAAGTCGAATATTAAAAGTGTAACTGACACAATAGTCGGGGGTCCAAAATGAAAAAAACTCTTTAAACTTAAGTCAACATGACATTAGATTGCAATTAGTATTAATCATATTTGTGTAATTAAGTTTTATTTAGTAGTATCCTCCGTTCTTTTTTAGTTAAAACATTCCAATTTTCACGCTTACCAATGCACACCTTTGACCATCATTATATTTAATTCCCTATTTGTAAAAACATTTTAAAAATCAAATTATGAAACTTTGTAATGAGACGAATTCAACAATATTTAAAAAAATCAATTCACAGACATTAATAAATAAAATGTAGTCAAAGTAGTGTGCATGAATAATATGTAAATTTCAATGTTGCAATTAATATAATACGTAGTATTTAAAAAAATCCCATTATTTATAGATTGAGCTTATTTTCTACCCCCGAGTATTTAAAACTGAAGTGCTACAATAAATTATACAGGATTATAATATTCAGTTTTAAATGACAACAACCCAAGCCTAGTTTCTTATGGTTTTTGAAGTTTCTCAGGAAAACCAGAAGTCCAGAACAACTTGAAGCAAAGGTTCAGGAGCGAGCATAGAGGAGGTGAAAAGGCATCTGGCTGAATCTAATTATCTCCCGAGGCAGTAGTAATGGTATGACCTCTATTGCGTATTTGCGTCTCTTCAAGTGCGTTGATCTCCATGGGCTGAAACCATAGTTTTTTATGAACTGTTTTGCAGTCCGTGACGCTTCACACGAATCTGGGCGACATAAAGTGCGAAATATTTTGTGACGAGGTTCCAAAAACTGCTGAGGTTCGTACTCCCGTTTACTCATGATTTCCTAAGTTTAATCTTCTCAATATCTTGCTAGTAATTTAAAACCTTGAATCAACCTATATACTGAGTATTACTTTTTTATACACAACCTATACAGTACTTAATAACGTAATTAATCGCTAGCCATTTTTTCGCTTTACTTGCATAATCTTTGCCTGTAGAGTAAAACTGTACTAAGTGAGTGTTTTCCTACAACTGAATGAATGCCATGATGATTACAAAAACATTAAGTGAAGAGTAATTACTTAGGGTGAGCAGATTTGTATTATTCTAACTATTGTAGTAATCTACATCCATTTCCTTGTCTTCTTCTTGATATGAAAGCCCTATGTTCTTTTCCCGACCACTGTGCCACCACCATTTCAAGTTTTATGTGGATAATGAGCTGGCCGAAATAAAGTGTTCTTGAAGTTAAAGATCACTTAAAAACATCAAGCCAATAATGAAGTTCGGTCGCTTGAGATCTATCTGTTGAAAATTTGAAATGCATTGAACATCTCACTTTGTGTTGACCAAGTGAATAGGAACTAGGACAATAATAGTGGGACGGAGGGACTACTAGTTTATGTGACTGCAGTTGTTATTAGTTGTTACAACTTCATCTGACTGTGATATATTTGTATTTTGTAACCTAGTTTAGTTGGTTTAGCTTTATACAAGTTAGAATTTTAAATCTTATACGAACATGATGCTTACGGATCATAATCTAGTAAATAGTAATGAAGCTACCTGATTATACTTGGTTGTCTTCTTATATGCTAGAAGCAATAATGCTTTTGATCAGGCAAAACCAATACTGTTTGACAATAATGACATTTTCCTATACTTTTATTTTAAATGTATGGACACATGACTATAGACATGGTGACAGTGCTGAATCTTCTTTGCATGTAGAGTTTTTTGGGGTTGTGTGCAAGTGGCTATTATGATGGGACCATATTCCACCGGAATATAAAGGGTTTTATGATCCAAGGTGGTGATCCCACAGGGACAGGAAAAGGTGGTACAAGCATTTGGGGGAAAAAGTTTAATGATGAGATACGGGAATCACTCAAGGTAACTAAGTCAGGTCCTTATGTATATTATACATTTATACATGCTTAATCATTTTGGACTTAAGTACCACTCCGGTGTTTTGTTTTGATAAGATGCATATATGCCTACGTTTTGTTAATTAGATGTCTTTTTTTATTAATTTGTGTTGTGCACATCTTTACTAAAGCTTCTCTTCAGGTAGTTCTCTTCAAAATAACATCTATTTGATATATTTATGGTCCCATCATCTCATGCGTTATCAACTAGCATTCTACATCTTCACAAACATGTCTATTTCACTGAGCCTCTCTCCAAGATAGTGCCCAGATCATTATGCCTTTTGTGTGGGTAGGTACGTAACCAACAAGGAATTTCTTTACTTTAGGACAGTTATAGTTACAACCCCAGTTAACCAGGGCTTCTATCACAACCTCCCCTATCATCAGGCCACCAACTTACTCCTTAAACTTACGGCACCGGGGGAGGCAAATCTAATAATGGCTTGAACCTGAACCTACCTCCCAGTCTAAACTTTCTTCATCTAGAAGTGCAGTATGTTATTAACTAGGGCTGAGCATAATCTGGTCTAGACCGGCAAACCGGACAGTTCAGACCGGACATTGGGTCCAAGAATTTTTGCGATTGCGGTTCTGGTCCAGTCCAAAACCTGGAATATTCTGGTCTGGACCGGTTAGATCAGAATTTAAATATTATATATACAAATATATTTATATATGCATTAAATTATACATGCATACCTACATGGCTACATACATGATACATACATACTATATCTGTCCGGTCCAAAACCTGGAATATCTTGGTCTGGACCGGTTAGACCAGAATCTAAGTATTATATATACAAATATATTTATATATGCATTAGAATAACACATAAATACCTACATACATACTATGGGAGTGTTTGCGATTGCTTTTACTTGAAAAAAGTGATTTTTTAAAGCGATTTTAGAGAAAGTGTTTAATAGTAAAAGTAGGTAGTGTTTCAGAATAAGGGATTATTGATGTAAAGTTTTATTGAAGTACAAAAAAGCCCTTGCATTAATAAAAAATATATTAATTAATATAATATAGAATTTTTTTTTTTAATCTTGTTCAGCCATCACCACCGACTGGTGGGCATTCTTCATTGCAGTATAATGGATAGGAGAGTTGCCAACTTCATACCAAATTTCTGTTTCTATTATTGCAAAAGACTACAATTATTACATCTATCACTCAACAATTTTTTTCAATGTTTTTTATTACATTCTCAAGTTGTCCAGATGGGGGTCTACTGTAGCGGCAGCCGGCGGGCGTTGTAGACTTCTTCCGCCTCCTCATTCATTAATGAGCAGAGGCTTGATTAGATACCCAACCATGTAGCAATTATCTGGATCTTGGCTATGTGTAGCAAAGTGTCTGTGTTGGTTCACCTCTAAAACCTAAACCCGATGGGGGAGGCGGAGAGCTTGGAGAAGAAAGCTGAATTGGGAGATTGATGTGTCAGGAGGGTACTTTAGGATTTGAGCTGTGCGTTTAGGGATAAAATTTATCCCCAATATTTGAGATATTTACCAAATAACCTAAAAGCAAATAAAAGCACCCCCAAGGCTACTTCCAGCTTTTGACTTAAAAGTGCTTAAATTAAGCAAAAGTTTTCATTTGCAAACACCCTTTTTAGCTTTTTAAAAGCCAAAATCAGATAAGTACTTTTTTTAAGCAATGGAAAACACTGCCTATATCTGGTAACTTTAAGCATGAAGACAATGTGGAGTTTATTGATTTTGCATAAGCTTTGAGCTTAAGTATAGCCAGCTCTGTCACTGTGTTAGAAACCTCCAGGAATTCCAGACAATTACAGAAAATTAACGAGAAATGAACTGAAAATTTATTGATGAAAGTGATCGATTACAGGAGAAGACACTGGCCGAAGCCCCCAAAGCCGAAGCTCCCAAAAGATAGAGATGATTAGTTTCGTATCTTTCCCAATCCCAAGACCAAATGTCTAAAAGCCTACCTGACTTCTCCCAGCTTATTCTATTTATACTACTCTAGCTATTACTCTTCTTATTTACTCTCATTCTACCGGGTCCCTAACATATCTCCCCCCCTAAACATCCACCTTGCCCTCAAGGTGGGTGATAGGAAACAGCCACAATCTTCTGCTTCCTCTTCCTCTTTCTTGTTCCTCTTCCTTCCCAATATCTAACTGGTTGATGTACTAGGGACTTCAGTATGGAATCTTTTAAAATCACAGAACCTTCAGCAGCAGAAAGTGAATCTTCCTTTGGTTCAGTCACCTTCCCGTACTCCCTATCAAAAATTATTTCTTCATTTTTCTGCAGCTTCTCCTGATTTCTATGTTCTAAAACTGATACTGTACTGAATGCAAACTCCTTTTTGTACCTTCCAACTTCTTTCTCTTTCAGTTCTTGGCTTATCTCATTTGATAAGGAAGACATAAAAGGCATTAACAAGCAAAGGTAAAGATATCCTATCCCAATCAAATGCACAATAGAAGAAGAAACAACTAGAGAATAGTCTTGATGATCCTTTGAAATATAAGGAGCAGAAAGTCCCTCTTCGACCTTGGTTTTCAAAATGGCTGTAATCATAGTAGACGAGTGCCTCCCAACAGTCAATTCCTGATTGTATATAGCTGTTTCCAAATTTTTATCATTCATAACAAGCCTGCTACCGCTCATAACCTTCATCCAAGTTAGTGAACCTTCATGTGAAATCAATGTAATAGTATCACCAGCAGCAGCAGATTTTACTATACTTAGGCTTGTGATTAACTCGGCTAAACCACCATAAACAATGCTTTTGATGATCTCAATTTTGTTCCCTTCTCTTGCATTGCCTCCTTGCTCCATTTCATGTATTTGGGTGGCTAAATGTGGCACATTAATTGATTCTGCAGAGGCAGTGGGCCCTTCTTCTACAGTTATAATGGTATCCTTACCTTTATCTTCATCAGCATCTGTTGAAATATCAAACTTAGTAAGACCTTCTGATCCTTTAAGTACAGAAACTGGTGATATCAGTGAGAGGACAGCTTCATCATCTGAACTTTTGTTTTGCACTTCCCTATCGCATAATTGGTCAGCTTGCTTCTTCCCTAAACTCAAAGACTGTGCATCAATGCATGAATTTTCTGTCCATTGGATAATCTGTCCTTGCTCCTCGGTTTCATCCTTCTTATTCATTTTCTTGATTACAACTTCCGTTGGCTCCATCTCAGTCTTATTTATTGACTGGTGCAATTGCCTGGAGGCGGTTTAAGGCATAAGCCTCCAACTATATGCAAAACTTCCTTTACAATTCAGAATCACTGAAAAGCTTAGTCATTTTTTCATTTATCAATCATACATAAAAAGCTATCATAAGCTTAGGAAGAGAAAAGTTAGGAAGAGAATCACAGTTTTTCATTTATCATTTTTTCAGTCCTATCAATCATATGTGACAAATAACTGTCATAGACCTCTATCATAAGGTTAACTCCTTAGAGAAAAGTATTTGGGATTCACTTACCAAAATAAATTCAGAAAACGCTAAATGAACAAAAACAGAAGAAATGGCTGAAGCCCTCAGCAAAAATAAGTTTCCTTTGCTTCTGTTTTTTTTTCAAATAAATAGAAAAGAATAGCTGCATTTGTCTGACTTATTTGGACTTCGCTGGAAGACGAGAAAGGAAGAGAAGAATAGCTATAGTGGCTCGATACCTTCCTGAGAAATATTCACACTTCTACATGAGTGCAGAATAGATGTAGCCTTGTAGGTACTGTGAACTTTATAAGAAGAATTATGTGATGATAAGTTTTGATTTTTGCAGATATACTTTAGGGATTGTGTTGAACTTTGTGACTGATAATTGGAAAATATTAGATACAGTATGAATTTCATAAAAAAAAATCAGCCTCACAAAAAAGTTTAAAATTAAGAAGTAAAAAAACAGAGGATAAGCCTCATAAAATGTCTAGAGGCTTAAGCTTCTTAAATGCCTCAACCTTCTAAGGCTTAATCCTCAGTTTGTTTGCTTGAAACATAAGCCTTGGGGCTTTTTTTCACCGCCTTATACTGAGTTAAGCGTCAAAATGTCCCTTTTAAGCCATGATACGCACACAGTACACACACACACTCTAGCTCAATAATAATAAAAGTAGTTCTTTCAAAGACATCTTATAAATATATTTTTTTAAGTAAATTTATCAAATTAAAATATAAATTGCAGCATTAACAGGGCATGCCCTGAGTTATACGGTAGTGATACCTTACTCTATCTACAAAAACACTTGTAAACAAAATCACAATCGCCGAATTTGATTTTTTGCAGCATAATGCTAGAGGTATATTATCAATGGCCAACAGTGGTCCTAATACAAATGGTAGCCAGTTCTTCATAAGCTATGCGAAGCAACCTCATCTCAATGGATTGTATACTATCTTTGGAAAAGTTATTCATGGGTTTGATGTCCTTGACGTCATGGAAAAGGTAAGTTCCCGGATTTCTTGCCAGAACTATAGTTTTCCTCATTCCTGGATTTCTGTATGAGGTCTAGCTTTAGTGGAACTATATCCCAGGAAGCAGCCCAAGGGTGGGTGGGTGTATTGATTACTAAGAACAAGGTTGGTATGGGTGTAAAACTACAATTTGTATAGGGTAATGTTAGTGGATTTCATCGGAGGAATAATCCTTGCAAATAACTCAACTTTAAGAAATAATTACAATGCTTAGTCCTAGATTTTAGTTCTTCACTCCTTCATTACTTAGGAAAGGTAGTTCAAGTATATGGTGCAACGAGATGGACTGGAGTAATAATGAGGTAAAATAATCGTATACTAATTGTAACTTTAGAATATCCAGGTTTAATAACCATGATCACTGCAAAACAGATATATTCAAATAATAAATCATGTGTGGATGTTTGTGTGAATCAGTGAATGAACACACTGATATTTATGTCAAAGATCAAAAGGAAAAAAACATGGGATTGCTTTGGAATCCAGCACCATTACCTGAGCCAAATCTATTACCAGTTCACCCTTTATTCCTTTGCTTTAGTTGCTCTAATGACTTGAGCCATTACCAGCCTTGAGTCAGTTTTGATGTGAAGCCCTCACCTTCTCTGATAATTCAAACCATGACAACATGAGTAAAGAATATAACAATATTTATGCGGAAAACCAAAAGTGAAAATTATGGGCCTTTTAAAAATCCAGCATAATCTTTTGAGACCAACTCTTTGTATCGAGCCATCCTTTATTCATTTGCTTCCCTCATGTCCTGTGACTTGACCAACCACTAACTTCAAGCCAGTTTTAACTATGACTCGAGAAACCGGAATGTAGTATATGTTGCCCATGATTGGAGACATATGCCAAAGACGGACACACAAGTGTCATAGAAATAGCAGGTGAAGTAACTGAGGGTCAATGGCTGCTGGTGACACATGGAAAACACCACAGCAGCTGCTGGGAGGGTGAAGATTTCCATTGGGTTAAATTGATCGACAGAGGAAAGCGCAAATAAGAAAAAATCTAGATTTGTCTTTAAGTAGTGCATCCGAATTACATGTTAATCTGTTGTTCTCTGGTATGCTTGGTCCTATTTGCTAGTGATGGCTTCTCAGTAAAATAAACATCTAACCATCAGAAAGCCATCAGTAGCAAATAGGACCAAGCATACCAGAGAACAGACGTTTGCTAAAGCCTTTTGTTCTCAATCCAAATGTGGAATAAGATAGGTTGGAGAAGAGGCTTTGATATCATGTTGACTGACAGATTTAATTTTCCGTTCATTGTAATGAACAAGCTACCAGTGGCAGCGACCTACTACATACGTAGGCCAATGTTGTACTTGAATTAATACACATACAGAGGGTATATTATTCTATTCTTCTAGTCCCTCACTGCCTACACTGACACGTAGTTCCATCATCTATGGGTTTGAAACAAATCCCCACATGCATGATGTAGAAGCTATGTTTCAGCTTTGGACCTTATTAGCCATTCTAAGAGGTTTTAGACTTTTAGGTATATTGATATTTGTTAAGTATGGCATAATCAATTGCATCTTTAATCGCACTTAACACCCCCCAAACAATAACCTGTTTAAAATGTTATTGGTATTCTGCAGACCACATGTGGACCAGGGGATCGACCACTTGCTGAGATTAGAATAAGTCGAGTTACAATACATGCAAATCCACTTGCTGGCTAAATCCATTATGTGGTGCGAGAAGTGATACATACATGCTACTTCCCTTTGGAACCTCCTTTTGAATAGTCATATTGGTTCAACCATGAACCATCCCATCTGCATATTTTGACATCCTCGTTGACATCAGTACCATATCCCTAACATGATCTATGCACGCCAAATTTAGGTTCATATGGAATGATTTTACTGTAACCGTGCTTAGCTATATTTTCTTTCATGTGACCATTGATGGATTACATTTGCTCGGTTTTTGCAGTTTGTGCATTGTCTAAACATTGGTTTGCTAGATCAGTATCTTTTTCATCAGTTTACAACTTGACTAACTGATGGTGAACAAGCCACATATGTTCACGTAATCATGTGTTCACATCATACAATCTTCTAACTGCACCAACATTTTTTACAGATATACCTTTAGTTAACATACACCAACTGGTTTTTATTCTGCGAGTCAACAAGTATTTCTTGTTGCAAAAATCTCGTGTTTCATTGCAAGAGGCTCTTTACATTACACTAGTACCTTTTAGATGTAATATTGCACTTAGGGGTGGACTTGATCTGAAACGGGACTGGAATAAGGAGAGTGGAGTACCGGATCAGTTTCCTGGACTTTTGGTTCTTTGATGGGAACCTTGTTCCATGTAAGGGGGTGTTTGGATCTGGTTCTTAAAACTGCTCCTGCAGAAGCAGAAGTTGGGGTGTTTGGCTGAAAGTGCAGAAGCGATTCTGGTGCTCTAATTTACTCCTAGAATCAGTTTTTTTAGAAGCTGGGGGTGACCAACTTCTGAAAACTGATTCTGATTCTGCTTCTGTTTTAAAAAAGAAGCAGAATCAAAATTAGTTCCAAACACCCCTAAATATTCTTAGGGGGTGTTTGGAACTGATTCTGCGTCTGCTTCTTTTTTAAAGCAAAAGCAGAATCAGAATCAGTTTTCAGAAGTTGATACCCCCCAGCTTCTAAAAAAACTGATTTTAGGAGTAAATTGGAGCACCAGAATCACTTCTGCATTTTCACCCAAACACTCCAACTTCTGCTTCTGCTCCCTGAAGGAGCAGAAGCACTTTTAAGACGGGAAAATTCCCGAAATAGGACTAAAACAGTTTCAAAATTCCAAAATAGGACTGTCATGTTTTTTATTCCCAAAATAGGATTAATTACTGCTATGTTTAGAAAATACTGACACGTTTGAAGTCTGGTACTGCCAAAATGTGACAGTAATTAGTCATATTTTGGGAATGACAATATGGCAGTCCTATTTTGGAATTTTAAAACTGTTTTAGTCCTATTTCTGGTAATATCTTTTTTAAGAATGACATCCAAACACCCCCTTATTTTTTAAAAAATAGGCTAAAAAAACTAGTTTCGTAACTTTGTTTCCATGCTTAAAGATTCTTATTTTTTTTAATAGGCGAGAAATTGGATTTGAATTGTTTTCAAGGTTAAGGTTCTAGTTCTTGCCCATGGATCCATCAATACTTTTTTTAATACATCGGAAAGGAGGTTCCACCTAGGCATGGATTCGGGCTGGGCCTGACCGGCTGACTGGGCTCTTTTTGGGAATTTTTCACAAGTAGACTAAAAGTGAAAGTAATATCACTTTTTTCACTTGTGAAATTAAAATTTCTTTCAAAAATAGACTACTCCATACTTTGTTTTCAAAAATAGACTATACGAAGTATTAACACGGAGGCGATTTGTTTAGGGGATTTGCTTGATCTCTGCTAGTCCGTACTATTTTTTGCTAATGCAAGTACACTCGGGACTAATGAGATGCTATCTCTTAGGGATAAATGATTGCAAATTCACCATCACTCAACATTTGTTCTAGATAGAAAAAATGTAAAATTCATTAAAAAACTCAAGAGATCATAATAATTGAAAAAATAATAAAAGTTTTAAAAAGTAAACATTTGCTTAAAAAATCAGACAAGCATTATAAAAGTTGAAACCTTGTAAATTAGATTTTAAAAACTCTAAAAGTAAATCAGGAAAATGTAAGACAAGCTAGTAAATTTGAAATACAAATCTCGAAAGTAAAAATGAATACGTTTAAAATAGTTTAAAATGTAGGAAAGTTGTAAAGAAAAAACTTAATATAAAATTTAATAATTATAAAATATCAAAACTGGTTAGAAACTTTTGTGAGGGTATTTTTTTAACACCAGAATATATACTCCATCCGTTCTTTATTAACGGTCTCGTATTTTTTTTTGGGACGTTTTTTATTATTTGTCTCTCTTTCTATTTTAGGAAAGTTTTTGATAAAATACCCCCACTTTTATTACTTTTACCCCTCTTACTTTTCACAAACTAATTTCTCTTTCTTACTTTATCATAACTTTACTCTACTTAATATACTATCTTTCCTATTTTATCATCACTTTATCACCATTTTACTCTTTTTAATATACCCTCTTTCCCACTTTATCATTTACCCTATACACTCTACATTTATCCTACTATTTATCTATTAAAACCCGTGCCCAAGGCTAGCGGGACAGATAATAAAGAACGGAGGGAGTACAATCTAAGAAATAATCCAAAAATATCATATAAATACTCCCTCCGTTCTTTACTATCCGTCCCGCTAGCCTTGGGCACGAATTTTAATAGAAAAACAGTAGGGTAAATGTAGAATGTGTATGGTAAATGATAAAGTAGGAAACAAAATATATTAAAAAGAGTAAAGTGGTGATAAAGTGATGATAAAGTAGGAAAGAGAGAATATTAAGTAGAGTAAAGTTATGATAAAGCAGGAAAGAGAAAGTAGTTTGTAAAAAGTAAGAGGGGTAAAAGTAATAAAAGTGAGGGTATTTTATCAAAAACTTTACTAAAATAGAAAGAGAGACAAATAATTAAAAACGTCAAAAAAAGAAATGCGAGATAGTTAATAAAGAATGGAGGGAGTATATAAAATTTGAAAACATCCAAAGAGTTCAAATTATACTTTACCAATAAAAAGAAATAGAAAATAAGATATTTAAATTTTATAAAATGAGGGGGGAAATATAATAAAAACCGTTTAAAATAAAAAAAAAACTGGAATGAAATTTAAAATAATAAAATGTTAAAACTAAGTAAAAAATGGAAAAATAAATATGTAAATTTTGTAATTTAATATTTTCCTTTTTAAATAGCTACGGAACTCAATTATCGGTACTATAATTTCATTGTTATTTTTTGTTGCATATTGTTTCTTTGTATTTATTGTTGTTAATTACTTTAAATCTTTTGTTTCTGATTGTTTATTCTTGTTTCTTATTGTTATTGATTTTCATAAATAAAATTTAATACTCGTATATTCAAGGTGCTTGTGGCATCGACAAACACACATATTTATAGAGTTATGGTAGACCAAAAACAAAACTAAAAATTGAAATATACGTAAACATGAAAAAACAAAAACAAAAACTAAAAGTTCAAAATATTAAACAAAAAGCAACATGATATTACAAAAAGCAACACATGAGATGCAACAAAAAGCTACACGTTGAAACAAAAAGAAACAAAAATAAAAATAAAAGTAACATATTATGGTATCCGATGAATAAATATTTAGATTTATTCCCTACATTAATACAAGCATTTCAATTATAATATAACAATGTTTAAAAAGATATAAATAAACTTGTTTTTGGTACATTTACAAATGAACTGAAAAAGGAAGCACATAATAGCAATGCGACTGTTTAATCTTTCTGTACTCAAACTGCTTTAATACTAGTAGAACTTCACTTCCTGAAACTTGCACAACATCACATAAGCGCAAATCATATTACTAGCAATGAAGAATCAATAAATCAAACAAAACATAAGGTAGTGATTGAGATTATATGAATGATACATGTGACTAAATTGTGTATTTGTGTCTTAATAATTTCCAATTTCAATTTGAAGGCTGCATTTTGCAGATTGCAAGATAGTGTGTAAATATTTTTCTCACCAACCTAAGAAGAATCATAAGGCATAAAGTAGAGAAACTTACAAGCTTGATCTAGTGTGAGGGTGAAATACTGAAATCTGCAATTCTACAAAACATTCATCCTCCTCCCTCTGCAGATTTGCAATTCCTTGCCATGATGAAAACATCCCTATCTATATATAAAAGTCAACTAAAATTCGTGACAAATTTAAAAAGGTTTAATGAAGGTTCCTATTATGTCTAACTTTCACTTTCCAAAAATTTAAACATTAATGGTAAAACTTCATGTTCTGTTCTTCAACTTAAAATGGAAAAAGTTAGTCAATTCCTCAAATATAATGATCTGGACGCTTTTAATCATGTTGAAAGCAAAAAAAACATGAAAAAAGCAACATCATAAAGTATTTAGAACGAATAGCATTGGGCTAGAATCACAAATGAAACATACCATTGCACATAACTTGGCAACTTGAAATGGCTTTACAAATGAATAGTGAATACCATTGCACTCAAAGCCCCTGCCTGATTTGCTCTGACCTGCAAGTTGATGAAACACCCAATAATAAATGCTTCCCCAAATTAAATTTCACCTACTAGAAAGAAAGGATACATAATCCTTAGAATGCCTCCTCCTCAATATTGAAACTTATTACTCTGATTCATGCTAACCTTAATATGAAATTAATATTACATTACTTTAGTTCAACAAAAAAATCTAAAAGAAAAATAAGAAGCTCTTAAAAATTCTTATTCACTGCCAAAGCTCAAAAGCAAACAAAAATTAAGGCCAAAACAAAAAACTAATGATGAATTGAAAGCTTGAAACAGAAAAATTAAAAACTTAACAAAAAAGGTGAAACTAGAACAAAACGTACCTGAATTGAAGTCTCTACCATCGAATAATTAAGTAAGAAGAAAACAACATAGTAGAAAGCAATTGGCCAGCAGTGGCACACGACGGGCCATAGGAGGTGTCTCGCCGGTGGAGGACTAGGCAGGCAACGACAATGGACAGTTGACAAGGGCCGATTGAAGATTAAGCCAGACGATGGTGAAGAAGAACAAAATATATATCTGTAACCCTTGCATCTGTTCCACACTCGAATTGCAGATTGGAGATAAGACGGGTAGAGAGAGCGGTAGTGTCGTGGTAGAGGTGAAGTCGCTAGAGAGGCTGTTGAGGAATGAGGAGATTGATAGGAAAATGTGGAAGAAGGGATGAAGCTTTAGGGAAGATGAAGGCCGTTGCGGAGTCGGTGTCGATTAGGCTAAGCGTTTAGTCTCTTTTTGAAATAATAAGTACAAAGTGAAAAACTTGAAGTTAAATATGAAAAGTATTATGTTGGTGGACATAAATGATATGTTAAGTATAATTGTGTACCATGTGGGCAATTTGCACCTTATTTCGGATTCTTAAGGCTCAGAATCGGCCCGGGTAGCTACCGGGTCCGGTCCGGACCGGGTCGGGCCGTCTACCTTTTTTTTGATTTTCTAATTACTTCCTACCCCCACCCCTACACACCCCAAATCCCTCCAAAACACCTAGCCCAACTCATTTACCTCCCA